ACCACGGCGAATGAGGATGAGGGACAACGAGCAGGAGGGAGAAGGGGCCGCGATGGAACCACGCAGACACACACAAGCCGCCGCATGCAGCGAGGGGCAGGCGATCACACAGCATGGCTACGGGTAGCATGGAGGGATGCGGTGGGATGCACCATACTCTCTCTCTCCCTCTCTCTCTCTCTCTCTCTCTCACACACACACACACACACACACACAGTTCTTGAGTGTATATGGCCGTGAAGGGACTGCGCAGACACACACAACACGCACACACGCGTTTGAAGGGAGGAGGAGGAAGAACAAAAATGGTGATGGGGGGAGGAGGATCGACGATGGAGGCAGAGGAGGGAGGAGTGATCCTGACCACGACCAATGAGGACGAGGGACGGTGAGCAGGAGGGAGAAAGGGGCCACGATGGGACCGAGCAGACACACACAACACACACAAGCCGCCGCATGCAGTGAGGGGCAGGTGATCACACATCACGGCTACGGGTAGCATGGAGGGATGAATCGGGATGCACCATCCTCCCTCTCTCTCTCTCTCTCTCACACACACACACACACGCAGTTCTCGAGTGTATATATGTGATGACCAGGGTCGGGTACATTCATGAGAGCTCCCGACCCCACCCTCTCTCTCTCTCTTTCTCTCCTCCCTCCCTGCCTCCCTCCCTCCGTCCATCCAGTTCTTGAATGTATAAGTGTGACGATCAACGTCGGAATGATCGTAGCTGCTCCCGTGAATTTCGATAAAGGCTCCTTTCTATTTTCGAATGTATGCTTCTGATTATCGGGGTCAGATACATTCGGTGCGGTGGTTCCAGCCTCCAGGTGCTCATGAAAACTGTGCTTCCCATGAATTTCGATAAAGGCTGCTTCTGTTCTTGAATACATCTGATGTTCAAGGCAAGATTCACTCAGGATGATGGTCGCAGCTCCTCACAAAAACTGTCCTCTGCTCCCGACCCTTTATCCGCTCCTGACCCTCCACCCTCTCTCTCTCTCTCTCTCTCTCTCTCTCTCTCTCTCTCTGTGTGTGTGTGTGTGTGTGTGTGTGTGTGTGTGTGTGTGTGTGTGTGTGTGTGTGTGCACCTATCCTGACGAGTGTCAACTGTCTGCCCTACCCATCTTTGTGTCTATCCCAACCCTTCGTTGCCTCTCTGTCTTCCCCCTGCAGTCCACCCCATTCCTCCTGCTTTCCCCTCTCTCTCTCTCTCTCTCACACACACACACACACACACACACACATTTCCTCTGTTCCCCACTATTGGGCGGCGGCGTTGCTGCGGCAAGGAGGTTGCCAGGGGGAGGAGGGGATTGCGCAAGGGGGAGGCGTCGTTTGGAGAGTGGGAGGAAGATGTCGTAAGAGGTCGGAGGAGGTTGCACGAGCGGAAGGAGGAGGTCGGAAGAGGACATGCGAGGGGGAGGAGGTCGCAAAGGAGGAGGAGGTCGTGCGAGCGGTCGTGCAAGGGGGAGGAGGTAGGAAGAGATGTGGGAGGAGGTCGCACGAGCGGAGTGAGGAGGTGGGAAGAGGCTGCATGCGGGGGAGGAGGAGGTCGCGCGAGGGGGAGGAGGGGATGCACGAGGGGTAGGAGGTCAGAGGAGTGGGAGGAGGAGGTCGCCTTGAGGTCGTGCGAGGGGGAGGAGGTTGGAAGATGTGCAGGTCGTGCAAGTACAGGCAAGAGGTTGCGCGGGGGTTCTGTGGAGGTCGTGTGGAGGTCGGAAGAGAGGTGGGTGGAGGTCGCGCGAGCGGGATGAGGAGGTCAGAAGAGGATGTGTGAGGGGAAGGAGGTTGTGCAAGGAGGAGGAGGAGCTGGAGGAGGCCGGAAGACATGTGGGAGACGAGTGCGGCCGCGCAAGGGGGAAGAGGTGCAGGTCGTGCAAGGACAGGGAGGAGGTCGCACGAGGGGGAGGAGGAGGTCACACAAGGGGGAAGAGGTCCGAGGAGGGGGAGGAGTGGGTCATGCTAAGGGGAGGAGGAGGTTGTGGGAGGGGCAGGAGGTCGCACAATGGGGAAGAGAGGTTGCAGGAGGTCGTGCAGGATGGGGAGGGGAGGAGGGGGCCGCAAGGGAGGACAAGGAGGTCGCAAGGTCGCACAAAGGGGAGGTGTGCGAGAGAGAGAGAGAGAGAGAGAGAGAGAGAGAGAGAGAGAGAGAGAGAGAGAGAGAGAGAGAGAGAGAGAGAGAGAGAGAGAGAGAGCAACCTCACATCATGTCGCAACACTGTCTCCCTCGCTGGCAACGGGCGTTTGCGGTGTGGCGACTAATCAAAACTATAAGCAGGTCGAGTCAAAGCGGGGTGCGGCGCCCGTATGGATCCGCTTCGAATTCGAAGCTGGGTTTGTGAAATGACGGGCTGCCAACCCTAATTGGTTAGGGCACCGGTTGTCAATGTGCATTGTGGTCTGAGGTTGGGGGTTCAAAACTCCGCACCTCTGCGCAGAGACACAGGCGGACGTTTGAATAACGCATGATCACTAGCATACCTATTGGGCGGACACAGGTAGGCTATTACGGACACTGCCTGCGCACCACCCAAGGGATCGCCCATGGTGTTGTATGTTGGGTCAAGACTATGATTGGTTTGCTTGACATTCTTGGTCCATGGTTGTTGTGATAATTGTGCAGTTGTTTCCCTGTCTCTTACAGCGCATCACTGTATCTCAGTAGGTTTGAGCCGAGGATTGTATGGAAGTGGTTAACTGTTCGAAATTTGATCACATTGAACTAAGCGGTATACAGAGTGTTGTTGTCTATCCTCCTTGTCCATGGTCACAACTATCTTGGTGTAACAGAACGGGCTTGAGGTGTTCTCCCTGGTTTCAGTTGTGGCTGGCATCGCAGTTACCTTAGTACGGACTTGTCGGGGTGCTGGAACAGGCTCCAGGTATTAGCTCTGGATTCGGTTGAGGCTGGCATAACAGTTACCTTAGTAAGGACTTGTTGGGGTACCTGAACGGGCTTTAGGTGCTGGATTTGAGGGGTCCAATCGTGGTTGATATGGCAGTTACCTTAGAACAGTCTTATCGGGGTACCGGAACAGGTACTGATCCAGGAGGTTCGTTTACTGTGGTGGGCATAGCTGTCACCTTAGTATAGCCTGGGTGCCTGCAACCGCTTCTGGTCAGGTCACCCCACCAAGATGGTGATGGGTGATGGTCCTGGGTGGTGAAACACTAGCGTAGGACAGGGGGGGTGGGGGTGCCCCAGGGGAAAAGATGAGAGGAAGGGTGGGTGAGGTCTTCAGAGGGGTTCATCTGGGCAACCGAATGGCCGATTACTGTGCGTGAATGCCATCTTTCTAGTATCCCACCTTTACAACAACCTGGGCTTTTAAAAAGAGAAAAAAGAAAAAGAAGAATAAAACCAAGGAAGTGAAAAACAGAAATTCCGGGCCTTCCGGATGGCAAACCGGCGCCTGAAGAAATTGGAGCATTTTTTTCTTTGGCGGCCTGGGCATGAAGAAGAGCCCTAGGCTTCCCCGAAACAAATTGCCCGTTGGTTTGGGGGCGGGCCATCCAGATCCAGAACCACACCCAGGTAACGGACCCCGGACAATGGACGGTCTGGATCCCTGTCCTGCGGTCCAGATCGTAGCTATGATCAAGGCTAATTGTTTATCAGTGTTAATGCACGCATCGTCAGTGCACAGTTTGTGCTTCTCATGCCAATACTAACATCAAAGGTCACGGGATGAATGTGTTATGTAACTTATCGAATCACAATCCACAGCAAAAGCCGCACGTTCCCATACACGGATGCAATCCTGAAGTAGACTTCAAGAAGGCAATTCCACACAACACTGGAGTGAGAGATAAACAGCAGAAGCACAATGTACCAAAAATAGATTAGAAGTGAGAACTTCAAATCTGGATCCCCCCTTCCTTCTCCACGAATCAGATTTACAATTCTAGAATCTCGACCATGTTTTCAGAACTGCAAAGAGAAGTAAAACGTGTTTTAACGAAGCATTTGGGAGAGTTCTTCCTCCCTTATCAGTTTCGGCAGGTCTAGCTATGGTGCCACCCTGAAACACCGCTTCAACCCTAACACCCGCAGACCACCGACACAACCTCCCTGTTTGAAGCGCTGACCAAGCAAATACCGAATTCCCCATTTACAGGCCCAGCACCCTTCCCAGGAAGTACCGCCAGCCCCCCGAAGAAGACGATGTCACCCCCTCGAAGAAGAAAACAAAACGTGCTGCCACGTGGCAAGAGCCACGGCAGTGCCAACCACTACACAACACATATGTGAGACATCCGCACGTAGGGCTGCAGCACTCACTGCAGCGTCAATCTCTCGCATCCAGAACCGTCTGTAGCAGCGGCATCCACTGAACAGCTCGGCAGCATTTTCCCCCACCGAAGAACCCCAATCCCATCGACACTCTACTGTTTCTAGACTCCTACCGGACCTAGCCTACGACCTGGGACCTAATGAACAGAAAAGTCCCTGTAAGTACTAGGCTGTTGTGGGTTACCACTTAGGGCCCCGGGCTACCGAAAATGAGAAGACTGACCCAAATATTGTTACAGCCCGCTGAAAAACAGCAAGGTTTGTTGGAAACGAGTATGTGGTATCTTCGGCTGACTCTGTTTTCGTCTGGCCGTGGATTCTTGAACACAAAGAAGCGGTGAGTTGCTGGTGGATGGTGCCTATCTGATAGATTGGGAGTTGGTCATTTGGGTCAATTGTTTGAGGCAAGCTGGTGTGAGCTTGCATCTCTTTTGCCTTCACTTCCTTGCACCTGAACTCGAGCAGAACATGGAGTGAGATAAATGACGATGCGGTATCTTCAAAGTCAGCAGTGTAGTCCACTATTGTGGCATTCTATATGCTTTAAAGTAATGTAAGTCGGTTCTGGTGTGCAAGGATGATGGATGTAAGGTTGGGTATCCAGAAAGTAGTTTTGTGGAAAATGTGGACTATTGGCACAATGGTCGCTTTTTTCTCAAGAGCTCTGTTGCTCACTGTGCAGTTGTGGTGGTTTTGCAGGCCAGAAAACTTCAGGAAACAGGCTGGAAACCAAGATGGTTTGTCAAAGAACCCGGATCCCCAACTTTCAGGTACAAGGGTGGATATTGGGAGGCAAGGCATGCGCACAGTTTTCAGGAATGCCCACAAATCTTTGCTCCTGACCCACCTAGTCCGGAACATGGGGAGGAACACAACTGATGCTTTGATGTGTTCTTACACTGCCTCCATTTGGACATGGTCTGGTGGTACTCGGTATGTGATATCAGCTTTGGCAGTGCAGATGCGACTAAGTGAGAGCATTAGACAGGTGTAAGGGAGGGGACCTGAAAGGTATGGCTTTGAGTAATAGAGTGGAAAGCCTGCACGGTACCAGATCATGTCGTGAATTTTCTGTCTTAATGCCCATTTCTAGAATCAGATGATTAATGGGACTGGCAGAACGCTAAACGGTGTGCAGTCGAGTGGAGAGATGGAAACTCCAATGATTGCGGTTGTTGCAGTGATGGATGGTGATCCTAATGGTAGTCATTCAGTGAAGCACAATTGATCTGATGCGTCCAAGGGCGCTGCGCTGCAGCCGAGTGGGTTCAACGGCTTTGCCTTAGACTGGGTCACAATCTGGACGATAGTTTTGGTATCTGGCCTTTCAGAAGTTGTGCAGTAGTAGAAATTATATCGGTGGAATAGTAGTAGGAGTGGAGTGTGTTAGGTTTCTCCGATGCTCTCGTGTTTCCTGATGTGACTTTAGCTGAAGTGGCAGCATGTTGAGCGACAACATCAAATCCATGGCAGTAGACTGGAAGGGAGGGGAGACTCTGGAGGCAATCGATTGGTGGTGCTTTGAAAGGCAGGAAGGTTGGACCCGGTGGACCACTGATTATTTGATTCTGTACATTGAATGACACTTTAGGTCTGCAGCGCGACCTAAAGGCTGGACCCATTGCGTCATTGCGGCTCTGTAGCCAACTCTTCATGACTGCACACACGGTCAGACCTTATCTTATCGGTTCTTCGATGCAAGGCACTGCACGACAGGCAACATCACCGAAGTCACCAGCGACTGCCAGATCTGCAGCATCACACTTGCAAGGGGTGGTGTTCTGGAATCCCCTGGTTTACAGAGTAGGCGGCCTCTCTCTTCCAGAATCTTTCCAGTGCTGTGTTGACAAGCAGATCGAGAGGACACCTGCCTTGAGTGCCAGCATTCCACTTCTACGGATGCTGGGAGTGATATGACAGCTGAGGGAGAGGTTCTTGTTGTAGGGAAAGAGGGGGATCTTAAAGCCGGTGGGGTGGGGTTGAAGCTGATGCTGCAAATTAGCCACTTTACTTTTGCGAGGTTTTTTTGTTTCACTTGGAAGGAAGCCCATGATTTCTGGACTCATCTTTCAGGTTAGGTCAAACGAGCAAGTCTGGGTCTGGTTTTACTACTGCGAGAAAGGGCGATCTCATGTTGGGGTCCGTCTTTGCACACTGTACATTTCATCATTATTCTTGATGACAAGGTGAGAATCGCTTATCATAATCGAGGCTATCTCATCCATCAATCCTTCTCAACGCCAGGTAGGGCTGGATGCCAGAAGTTTGTATTTCACCTGACTTCTCCTACTCTACTCCTCCCTGTTCTGCTCCTTCCCTGGGAAGGATGTTGTCTGTGCTGTTTGGTACTGTAGATTGTAGAACCTTCTTGTTGTTTTTGCTTGTGTGCAGAGGTGCTCGTATGTTTTGGGTGTGTGCGCACATGTGCATGTTTGTGCACACCCACACATGTTTAATGTGGGTGTGTTCTCTGTGGTGCTATGCGTGTGTGGAGGTGGTGTGGTAGCTGTCCGTGGCAACAGGTGCAGGGCTTAATGGGTTGTTGCACGAGTTTTAGGAGGTAGACCTAGAGATTGTGGGTCAAATCAGGATGGAACTGCGTATATGGGCCTCGGGATATGGGACGTAGTGAGCTGACTGGGTCTGGTGGACATGGTGCAGGCTAGAGTCGTTGAGAGGATAAACAAATGGAGGGCTGAGGTGGTGGTGAACTCCAAGCCTGGAATCAGATTAGAGCCATGAGTTCTCTCTCTGGTGACTGTTCTGCATGCGGGTAGGATGCCATCACCTTGGCTGTCTCAATGTGTTTGCTGCCGATGTAGATCCTTGAAGTGAAAATTTAGAACCGTTTCGGATGCATGACAATTTCTCATGGGGGACTGGCTGATGTCTTGTGGACACACTTGACACAGCTTCAAGTGGTCGAATACAAGGTGAAACGTTGTTGTAGGGGGAATGAATAAGGCAGGCAGGTATGATCGCCTTTTGCTCATCTGCACCCATTTATTTGTCGATCTTATGCTACTTGTATGTAGTGCCTCCATCTTTTACTCGTGCGCAGTGCATCCATGTTTCACTTTATGTAGTTTATCTGTGAATAGGTTTTGCCTGAATGCCACTGGATGCACCTCTGTGTTGGTGACGAGTCCAAGGATAGAGAGCGACAGATCCCACACCTTGTGCAGTTTTCCAGGGTGTTCCGCCGAAGTGGATTGGCGCTTATGCCGCCAGTGCAGAAGCATTTCAGGTATTTCTTCTCCCCTAGCGGGTAGTGAAAGGTCAAATATTCAGTAATGTGCGATAGCTCATAGGTAACGCGGTGAAAGAGGTGTTGATCATGATGGGAGGTTTCTTGGATTGCTTGGAGATTAAGCCTGTGAGGTCCTAAGGGACAGAGGGTTAAAACCGGCCTTCGGTGGCTCCAGTCAAGGAAGACCCAGGAAGCGCAGAATCTTGCACTTTCTTCTCTTAACAATTTGACAAACTTTTTTGTGCACATTCATCATACCGACAGTGTGGAGAAGGGAGCTCCTTTCTCAGTGGCTGTTCATTACCATAACCAATTCCTGTGACCCCTGTTTGAAGCAGGAAAGACTCATTCTGGCGGCCGGCTCCGTGCCATTATGGCCAATCCCTTTTTATTTGTGTTTCTTTGTGTGTGTGTGTGTGTTGACGTGTGTGTCTGATGATGTGTGTTTGTGTGACAATGTGTGTGTGTGTGTGTGTGTGTGTGTGTGTGTGTGTGTGTGCATCTCGCT